CTAGCCATAGTCCCCTCCTCTCCATTTGGCTGTGTAGTTGCTCAGGCCAGATAAGGGATGAGCTCCTGATGAAGGGTTCCTGGTGGCCATCCTAGGCACTTGTCTGCCTGTGGGCTTCCCTCTCTAGGTGCACGTGTATCCCACAGTCTGCCTGATTCTCCGCTGCTGAGGGGTGACCTCCATGCACACTCAACCCCAAGAGTTGGGCTGGAGAAAGAACTCAGTCTCCCCTCCCCAGTAGGCTTGGCCTTGCCGAGTTCTACCCTGTGTCACTGCCCTGAACCTCAGCATCAACCAGGGCTCCTGGAAAGAGTGCTCAGCAGCCCTGCTGCAGGTGTCCTTGTTACTGAGCATCTTTAGAAATGCTTGGCCTTTAGGGCTTCTTAACCTCAGTTAAGTGCTGTCTATCACCTGAAGTGATTATTTTGACAACCAGATGAACACGTTTGACCACTCATTCAATTTCTACCCATTGCCACATACTAGCTCCCGACCTCCCAGGATTTACATGCAAAGAATCAAAGGCCCATAGGTAGAAACGGAGGAATCAGTGGGGCTGTACTCCCTCAAAATGCTCTAGGGAAGGATCCTTCCCTGCCTTTTCCAGCTTCTCATGGTCCCACAGGTTTTTATTGGTTATACCCACATCACTCCAATCCCTGTCCTCACTTGGCTGTCTTTTCCTTATGTGACTATGTCTACACATGACATTTGCTTTTCCATTCCGTTCCCATAAGCACAGGATATAACCAAGATACCTTGGACCCCAGTGTTCCATCTCTGCAAAACTAAACTACTCTTATTCCCCTCAACTATGCTTTCTTCCTCCCTCCTCTATCTTTCTCCCTCCACCCTTTTTGTGCCTGCCTGACTTGATTTTCCTCTACCTCCTCATACCCTGTTTCCACTCAACTAGCTAAAGTGTGAAAAAGCACATCATATTATTAAGTGGAGAATATTTTTACTGAAAAAAAACCAACAATTAATTTGATTATTTGTTTTGATTTGATTTTGGTTTTCTGTCAAAAGACTTTGCTAGAAAAATTTTTTTTCAATCTTGGAATAATTATAAATTCTTGGAATTATCAACATGGGACACATGACTCTGTTCCGTATTTATGGTCAAGGCCACTGTCAAATCTGGGCTGGGCTAAATAAAAACACAATAAGAACAAATTATTATTCCTGATTCTGAGTCTAGGCAACATATATATCATATTTATCCTCAACTCAACAGTTAAATGTTCAGTTCTGTGTCCACTGAGTGAATAGATACCTAAATGAGAATGTAAGGTTACTAAGGATGGTTGAAAAAAAAATAACCCCAGTATCAGTAATCACATATTCAGAGAAGGCCTGGATACTGAAACTACAACCTAATGCTGAGAGGAACTGAAGAAGGCCCTCAACATGGAGAATATACCATGTCCTTGGTTTCAAAGGGTCAATACTAAGATGTCAATCCTCCCCCAAATGATTCATCAATCCAATGCAATCCCAGTGAAAATTCCAGCAAGCTTTTGTTTTCCCTAGAAATTGGCAATGTATTGTAAAACTCATGTGGACTTTGAAAAATAAGAACAGAGAACAAATTCCTTATTGATTTCAAGATTTAGAAAGCTACAGTAATCAAGAGTGTGGCATTGACATAAAGGTACACAAAATATTTTAGTTGGTTGGGTTACAATAATAAAATACCATACACTGGGCAGCTTAAACAATAGATTTATTTCTCATCATTCTGGAGGTTAGGAAGTCCAAGATCAAGGTGCTGTCACATTTGACTCTTGGAACATAGCTTCATTCTCTCTGTAGCTTTACATGTTGGAGAGAGGACACTGGTATTTCTTACCTTTAGGGAACTAATCCCATCATGGAGGCCCCTCCCTCATGACCTCATCTAAACCTAACTTCCTCAAAGATCCCACCTCCCTAACACCAGCCATCGGGGCTCACACACATGACTTTTGTGGGGACACAAATATTCAATCCATAGCACTGATGTGGCATCATGAAGACTCTAGAAACAGACTCACAATCATACATACAACTGATTTTCCACAAAGGCACCAATGCAATTCCACCAAGGGAACAACTGTTTTTGCAACAAATGATACTGGGGAAACTGGATATACAGATAGGAAAAAGGGAATTTTGAAAGACATGTACTGTATAGAGTCCATTTATATAGAACTTTAGGAAATACAAATTAATCTATAGTGACAGAAAGTAGAGCAGTGATTATAAGGATAGGGGTAGGGAGGAGCAGGAAGGAGGGGCTACTGGGGCCAAAGGCCATTACTGGGGAGGTGATGGATATGTTCACTGTCTTGATGGTGGGGATGGTTTCATGGGTATACACACATGCCAAAATCCATCTAATCGTACACTTTAAAGATGTGTAGTCTATTATATGCCTACTATACCTCCATAAGTTGTCAAAGAAGGGTTAAAAAGCCAAGAACCCCCAGTAGCCCTTCATTTCCAGCCTGAAAGTTCCTAGTTGGTGGAAAAGGACCGAGTTTAACCTTCCTAGACACAAAAGAAGGCACTGTGCCATTCACAAATGCCCAAGGCCTTGAACTTGATGGTTCTTCTAACATAAAAATAACGATCTTCTGAGAAGCTGTCCAGGAATCCTGGAGGGTCTGGTATTGTGAAGTCATAGTTATACTGGGGCCAGCAAAAGACAAACCAGCTACAAATACCATGGCAAGTGGGAACTCCTGAGGAATATGGTTGTGGCCCCTGCTATGCTTCCCTTTTATGTTACCTCATCATGCACAGTGGACTTGAGCCATACAGAACCATATGTCACACCTCACAGACATAAGAACTATCATCTGGATAGTTATTGTATAGACTACACTTTACAACATTGGTGGTTGTTAAGATGTCAATTACTATAGCAGCTATAATTTACATTAATTTTCCTTCCTCCATCACAGAATAACTCATGTTTTGAAAACCTGCTCCTCACCTAGTACCAGCTAAAGCCACACTCTGGAGTGTGGCATCCTAAGCTCTCCACACTTGAGGTCTAATTGACCTTAAACCTAGAACAGTCCTGGAGAAATCCCTCAGCCTTTCATGGGTTCCCCCAACATACCAAATGCTCACTCTCCTTTCTTTCACCTGTTGCAACTCAAGCACTTCTCAGCAAACCCACAACAGAAGTCCCTCTACTTCCATTTCCTGTCTGAAGAGCTGGGCACTCTCACTTGTGGGTGTGGATTCTGCCATGTTGTGTTGCCTGAAGTCTGGCAAAGAAATTGCCAAAGCCAGAGCTGCTATTCTCAGGAGGTGATGTGGCAGCTTGTTAAGGAACATAGCAGGCTGGCCAAATCTCCCTTCCTGGTCACAGTCATGGTATCCAACCAGCTTTAGTTGGCTGTCCATAACCCAGTCAGAGGAGTCTATACCCTGTTGTAGGACCCCAGACAGAGCTCCATGCACCAGGGAACCCAAAGGGTTACCAAAACACTGGCTCTGGGCTCTTCCCAGATTCCTGGTGAAGGCTTTTCCTAAAAACTTTAACCCAACTGCCTGTTTAAACATTCAAAATAGCCCCTACCTATTGGAGGGCTTCTTTCAAGGCCAACACTTGTAGAACTTCTTTATTTGCAGCCAAAGGAAGTGGAAGCAATCCCATCTCACAACAAATTCAGCCAGGACCACTTACCAGTTGCATGGAGATACTGCCACAGGATGTATACACCTCTTGGAAAAGCATTCATTCAAAGTTTCAAAGAGCAAATGGTCCAAAGGGGAAGGGGCCTAAGATTGGCATCCAGGAAAGGTCCTGGGGAGGGGGAGCAGCTGGAGGAAGGAATGGAAAGCAGCAGGACTTTCCTGGATAGTTTAACTGTTTACACTCTTTTGTCTCTCAAAAAGCAAGGGCAATCATCCCCATCTCCCACACAGCAGGAGGGATGGAGCCCAATTTATAGGCACCATAGAAGGAAAAAAAGAGTCCTTTCCAGGCTCTCTCTTCCCTCTCTTATTCCACGCAAAACCCGTGTTGCATACCTGATTACCCTACCTGAAAGAAAAAACTACTCTTATTTGAATTGTAGTGAAAATCTAATTAACAGGAACTAAATTACACCGAGAACAGGAGAAACAAAAAGACTAGCTTGCCATTATAAGCATCATTTACCTAGGCAAGCACTAGAGGTTTTGGAGCTTTCCAGGGCACTCAGACAAAGTCAGAGAGCAGTGCCCTGTATCTCTCCTGGTAGACCCACTTTCTGCTGAAAATGCTACACATGATGCTTTCTGTATCGAGTTATCCTTGGGTGTAGGACTAAGGTGAAAAAAAGGTGCTTGTGTTAAAAATAGAATTAGCTTATATATTAGAACCAATGGAATGTCACTGTCCTGGGAGAGCCAGCTCTTCTCCAGTAGAAGTTGGTGACTGTCCGGCTTGTAGGATCTGAATAGTTCCCTTCCCAGAGCACTGGAAATGGACATTAGAGTACATGGGACAGAGACCTTACACAGCCTTCTGCTATGGATACCTGCTCTATATGGGAACTGATTCCCTGCATCTCTGCAGGCCCTAGGAGATTGTCTGAGACTCAGAAAAACCCCAAATGCCAATTACCTCACCAGGAACTTCAGAGACATGTTCCTACTGGAAAACATAAAGTTGCAAATGCTTTGGATTGCCTCCACGTGAGGCTGGAGCTGACGAGACTGAGCCCAAGTGCAATGTGCTGAGTGCGCAGAGTCCATTTCACACGCATCTGCTAGTGCCAGACCTGGGCTGTTACAGAGGACACAAGGCTGAACATGACACACAGCTGTAGGCTTATGGGGCACTAGCTTACAGACAAGAAGGCAATCAAAGGACAAGGAAATAGGGAGCCACTGGACACAAGCCACCTTGAGACAACAACAAGTTACAGAACTCTGGAACGTTCCACAAAATAGTTCATTTATATATATATATATATATATATATATATATATATATATATATAACTTATATACATGTGCGTGTGTCTACATGTATGAAATTTCTGGAGTTGTCCTAATGACTGGCACTCCAAGCAGCATCCTTGGAAGGAACCTGGATTTTCAGGCCCTCCCACATTCTCCTGGCAGGAGGAAAACGTCTTTGAACCTCCCCTGTCTGGCAGGAAAGTGCATGCTCCTCCTTGGGGTCCCCATGGGTGGCCTCTACCACACCTATCACTTACACACCCTTGGAGGGGCTCTCTCCTGGGAGTGTAGCAGGATGGAACGGGTGGTCAACTGACCAGGATGCTGGGCTGAGAATACCAAGGGGTCAGGATTCCCAGGCCTCCAGGGACAGTGTGGGTAGAACAGGACAGTGCCTGCTGGCAGCTGCCTCCAGTTAGTAGCCAGCTTTCCTCTTGAAAACTCCCCTAAGATTTCATAAAGTGCCTTCTGAAGGGTCTGCCCTGTCCATGGGGCTGAAGGGGGGGGGGGACTGCATCATTCCAGGGAGAAGAGGTGCAGGCTTGCCACCAGCTTATCAGATGTGGGCCTGGGATGGCCCCTTTTTCCTGCCTGAGGTCTTGTCAGGGGGTTGGGGAATTCTTATTTAAGGAGTGATTCCCTGCACTCTCATATGGCCAAAATCTCCATTATCAACTTACACTATCCCTGAATACAAAAACATTCCAAGCAAGGGCACCTTGGATACTCTAAGAAATGTCATGTGAAAGGCAGCTGCCCGGTCACCCAGATCCAACTCAGGAGCAGTTAAGTTGAAAGTTTTAGGCACTGGCGGGTGTGGGGGTAGGCAGAGAGGCCAGGACAGCCTTTGCTGGGTGGGCAGGTTTGGGGTCTGGTTGACAGAGGCAACAGGGCATGAGCTGGGGGCTGGTGGGCAGGGAGGAGACTGAAGCCAGCAGGACAATGGGGGCACAAATGTTGCCATGTCTTGTTCAGAGCCCATTCCTGTGAGGAACCACAGGAGGTCCATCCAGGGCTCCTCTCCTAGAGAGGAGAAGCTTAGGCTCTCTTGGTCTTATCCTTTGTGTAGAACGCAGGGCAGCCATTTCCCAGAAACCCCCACTGAGAGGCAGTGGGGCTATGTGCAGCTCCTCCTCCGAGCAGAAGGGGGCGCCCAACAGGACCGGAATTTTCAGGCACAGCCTCCCACGGTTCCCCACACCTGCAGGGCTTTTCCGCGCTACTAGCTAGCGGGGTGCTCGTGCCTTCCGTAGGAGCAGCAGTCTAGTTTCAGAGCTCTCTGCGTTTAATAAGCCCTGAAAGAGTTAAAGTGCTTGTAGTGTCTTCTACGCAGAAACACTAACTCTTGGCAGGAGGCCAATGGCCCCGCCCTGGAGTGAGGACGGGGGCCATTACCGTGTAAACTGCTCGCGCGAGGCGAGGCGAGGCGAGGCTGCCTCCTCCCTCCACACAGCAGGCAGTGGTCCGCGCACGGGGGAGCAATTCCGCAATGTACAAAGCTCAGCCGGCGCCTCCGCACGCGTGCGTGGGCGCCTAGGAGTACCCTGCTAGGCTGGGCCGGGCCTCGGGGTGCAGTCTCTAAGCATCGACGGCCCCTGTCCCTCCTCCCCGCCCTACCCTTAGGGACAGAGCGCACTTGGGGAAGGGCGCGTCCTTCCACTCAAGAGTCGTGCACTGTTTCTTGGCCTCAGGGCGAGGCTTTGCCCTGGGTCTTCCCAGAGCCCAGAACGCTGGCCCCGTGGCCGCCATCGCTCCCCTCAATGAGTGACTTCCCCTCGAAAGCCGCCGCCCGTGGGCTGCCTGCCTGGGGCTTCTCGCCGCCATGGGAGTGCCTGTGGCCACTCAGCTGCGACTTGCTCTCGAAGGCCTGGCCGCAGTGCTCACACGTATGTGGCTTCTGGCCGCTGCGGCTCCGCCGGGGCTCGGCCGAGCTGCTCTCGCCGCCCTCCTGGGGCCGCGGCCCTCGGTGCCCACGCCTCGGCTCCAGGAGCATGCAGCCGCGCCTCAGCCCCTTGGCGCGGCCCCGGCGCTCGGAGGCCCGTATGCCACCGTGCACCGCCTGATGCTTGAAGAGGTTGGCGCGGCGGCCAAACGCCTTGCCGCACTCGCTGCACTCATAGGGCTTCTCGCCGCTGTGCACGCGCCGGTGCTGGCTGAGGCCAGAGCGGCCGCGGAACGCCTTGCCACACTCCTGGCACGCGAAGGGCTTCTCGCCACTGTGGCTGCGCTGGTGGTGAATGAGCTGCGAGACGCCCTTGAAGGCCTTGCCGCACTCGGGGCAGGTGTAGGGCTTCTGGCCGCTGTGCGTGCGCTGGTGCTCGATGAGGTTGGAGCTGCGGCTGAACGCCTTGCCGCACTCGCTGCACGCATAAGGCCGCTCGCCGCTGTGGATGCGCTGGTGCTCCAGCAGCGCGAAGCTGCGCCGGAACAGCTTCCCGCACTCGCTGCAGGCGAAGGGCTTCTCGCCGCTGTGGATGATCTGGTGCTTGATGAGGTTGGAACTGCGCGTGAAGGTCTTGCCGCACTCGCCGCACGCATACGGCTTCTCACCGCTGTGGATGCGCTGGTGCTCCAGCAGCGCGAAGCTGCGGCGGAACAGTTTCCCGCACTCGCTGCAGGCGAAGGGCTTCTCGCCGCTGTGGATGATGCGGTGTTTGATCAGATTGGAGCTGCGGCTGAAGGATTTCCCGCACTGTTGACACAGGTACCGTTTCTCGACGCCCTTGGAAAGCTGTTGCCTTAGAACCGGATTGTGTACAGAGTCCTGGGGACCTCTCTGTGCAGACACTCTCTTGGTGCCTCCTGGCTGGGGAGGTGACGCTGCCACCTGACCCCCCTTGCCGCCCTGAAAGTCAGGTCCTGGGCGTCCTCTTCCAGAATATTTCTGTTTTGAAATGGCTGTCTTGCTCTTTATCCTCTCACCTGCAAAGACAAAGAGTGCCAGGCAGTGTCAAGTGTCACCCCTCTCTCGGACTCTATTGAGGGTTTTACTCTTCTTCACCTTGGCAGAAAAACATCAGGCAGGCAGACAGAGGGAGAGAGACAGGATGGACTGGAAATGGTGGCTGAAAGGGTGTGAGGCAGCAGGACAGAGGCTCTCGCTTCACCAGGATGGGAGGGAAGCCCTTGGGAGACTGACATCTGACACTAAAGACAATTTCCCATCCAGGGTGGATGTGCCAAACCATCCTGGTTTGGTAGCAGCTCTTTCCTTTCTTGGGATTCAAGCAAGTGGGATGAGCACTCCTCACTCACCTGCATGTGATTCTGCCTCTGCTTGGCCTCTAAGGGAGTCTGCTACCCAAGGCCCCTCCCCTCGCTCCAGCTGGGACACCAGGCGAGGCTTGGAGAAGGCAAATCCTGTTCACAGAAATAAAGCAGGTTAGCAACACTATGGCTAAGGACAGAGTGACTCCTAAACACAGTACAGCCTTAACATCTGCAGATAATAGAAAGCAAAGAACTTTCTAGAAACTGCCACTAAGAAAGTCCAGAGAAAGGTCACCCACAGCCATGCTCCTTGAAAGGTGAATGTCCCTGTTTCACCATCCAACTCAACTGAGAATCCTGAAGTTTCCTTGGAAAAAAGATGTGTCCCCATCTGTCTGTTGAATGTCAGAGAAGCCAGGGGGAAGAGCTAATTTCTCTCAATGGGGTCAGGTTACAGAATTGAAGTCTGTAGAGTCCAAAGAAAAGGGTTCAGTGCTAAATGGCCTCCTCACAACCCCAAAGGCTTTGGGATGTAGTGGGGGAGCCACCTCTAGTTTTACAGCCCACTCCCAGCAGCCAGGAAAATGCTGGGAAAAGGAAGGCCTCAGCTCAGCTGTAGCCAATAACATGCTGGGCTGCAGGAGGGGAAAGGCCAGTCCCTGAGCTCCTCAGACGCAGGAGGCAGGGCACTTGCGGCACTCACTCTCTCAAAGCTTCTGCCACAGCCCCACCCACCCAACCTGTGACTCTTGGTTTTGCCCTTCAATTAGCAAAATTGACATCCCTCGTGGTGTCATAAAGACGAGAAGTTGGGGGCATGTTGACAGAGGAAGGGAAAGGCTGCCTGCTCACACCTGTCCCAGCTTCTTCTTGGATTCTTTGAGGCACATCTAGTGCACACTTAGTCCTTGCTTGGCACCTCCATGGCTTATGTGAGGAAATCCTGCTGCTAAATTCTACAAAGTGGGATGAGTGGAAAATGAAACTATTATAAAGATAAATCAAGTTTAAAATAGTGCATATAAATATTGCAGCATAACTGGCATTATAAGTAGAAAGATATTTAGTCAATTCATGACTTTATATACAAGATAACTGATTTGACACTAAACCATTTAGCCAAAAACTCCTATTGAGATGACAGCTGGCCTACAACAGATGACTGGTCTGGTAGAGATGGACAAATGCATTTATTCTTGGACTCATAGTAATTAACCAAAAAGAAACTCAGAAATAGAGTCCAGAGGCAGAGTAGGTGGGCCTGGGTGTTTGTATATGGCAGGGTCACTTACCTAATGACACTAAATGGCCATAGTTCTCCAGCATCACCTGCTTGTAGAGGATTCTTTGTTTGAGATCCAGAAGCTTCCATTCTGTCTTTGTGAAGTACATTGCCACGTCCTCAAATGATACTGGGACCTAAAATAAGCCATTCCTGCAGCTGTAGGGGAATTCAAGCCCTTGGGTCCCAGGATGAGCCAGCAGCAACAGAATGTGGGTGTCCCCACCCCACCCCCAGAGACCTCAGCAGGAAGGGCAGGCTGAGTTGTAAGCAGACCACTTAGGAAAGAGGAGCTGACAGAAGTCAGGACACCTACTTTGAGGCATCAGGAAAGGGGCATGATGCTGAGGCTAGCCTAAGCTCTCCTGAGTAGAATGGAAAGGTCCGGAATCTGGAGGAGCATTGGAGACTGCTGAGGGAAGATACTGGGGGGGAGGGCCACCCACTCACCTTGGGCCTTGTCCTCAGGAGAATGGCTGCCATCACCAGGCACCTGGAGAAGCTGAGGGAAGTGCAGAGCCCTGGTGAGACCAGGCTAGCCTAGAGCACCAACCGGCTGCTCAGAAGCCAACCAAAACTTGTTTCAAACCCTGGGGGGTTTTTCTTGTCCAGTGGAGCCGAGCAAGGTCGGGCTTTGGTGAGTGTGGGGGTGAGGTGGAGCAGGGACAAGCGAGTGGTCTCTCCCTGAGAGGCCCAGGACTCAGGTGTCCCACTGAGTGTGGCTGCTGCCCACTTGCCCACTGCACACCTTGATTACATCTGCAAAGACCCTATTTCCAAATAAGGAAACCTTCACAGATATCAGGAGACAGACCATCAACATGTCTTTTTTGGAGGGGCACAATGTAGCCCCCAACATGTTCCTAAACAGCCTCCATGCCGTCTTTTCCTCTGTGCAGTGGGTTTAGAGCCAGGGATCCCATGCCTACCTCTCACACCAGGCCCACCCATCTCACCTTCCAAGGGAGTCTGTCCTTTCTTTTTTGGGTTTCCTTCTTTTATTAGCTCTATTCTCATCTGACTAGGACCCCCTGACCCTAAATTTCTAGCCTTTCTGAAGAAAAGAAGGATCTGTTAAAGTGGAATGAATGCTAGAACTATTGTCCATAGGGCAACTGGCCCAGTCTCCTCTGCAAATCAATGTCAGTGGGAAAAACGAGGCTGGGAAGACCCTTCTAGAGGGAAGTAGATTTAAGGGGCCCAACACCCAAGTGCAAAAGGGAACCTCAATAAGATGCTGGAGTGAATGAAGAGTCATCAAAAGTATTGGGGATGATGGGAAGATAGTGGATGATGATGAGGTGGCCATCAGAGGACCGTAGGGGATCATTAGTGCTCATGTGTTGAATGGATAATGGCACTGAGTCATGTAAGAAAATGTCTTTTTTTCTTTTTGGTACTGGAGATTGAACTCAGGGGCATTCGACCACTGAGCCACATCCCCAGCCCTATTTTGTATTTTATTTAGAGACAGGGTCTCACTGAGTTGCTTAGCACCTTGCTGTTGCTGAGGCTGGCTTTGAACTCATGATCCTTCTGGTTCAGCCTCCCAAGCTGCTGTGATTATAGGCATGTACCACTGTGCCTGGCCCTTTTTTCTTTTAAAATGTAACTTGAGAAGTGCACATATGTTGGCCCTACCAAAAGTAAAGTCATGCTAAGAAGTTATAGAGAAATGGTTAATTTGTATAACTATCCAAAGGAACTATGGGGGCTTAAGTTTAGCTTAGTGGTAGAGTGCTTATTTATAATGAGAGAAGCATTGGGTTTGATTCCCAGAGTGTACACAGTCAAAGTTATAAGTTTGTCTTGAGTTGATTTAAGTCTTATCTAACAGATGTGCTAATGGAAAAATTTTTGATCTTCAGATGTGTATAGGTGAAAAATTATTAAAGCTTATTTTCCTAAACTCACTTGGCTGTTTCCCCATTAGGACCTTAGGCTACTATACTTAATCTTCAAGTAAAATTTGTATCTTCCAGATCACAACAGTACCATGGGTAAGCCCCATACCTCTTCTCACACTCCAAGTGGCTCCAAAGGCTCATCTCCATTTGACCCCTTTTGAAATAGTGTATGACAGACCATTTCTGTACACTGGCTAGTCCTGAGTGTGCTGTCAGCCTAGTTACCATGGTTGAGGCCCTTACTGACTTACAGCAACAGATCAACTCCCTGGCTGCTGAGGTCCTACAGACAGGTAAGACTTGGCTATGATCACTGCTGCACAGGGGTGAGTCTGCATACTGCTCCAACAGGAGTGCTGTTTTTGAAGCAACAAGTCAGGACAGATTGGGATAACATTCGCACACTAACCTTCCAGGCAGGCATCATAATTAAGGGAGAAAGCAGCCTAGGGCGGGTTCTCTTGTAAGGAGACTCGGTTGTGGTTCTTACTAGCACTATTAACCTCAATCCCACTTCTCTGGTTTGATTCCTGTTTGCTAAACCTCCTCACTAAGTTTATCTCTTTCCACCTACAGGCCATCAACCTGCAGAAGTCCCTGAGGCTTGCTGGGGACTATTAACTATCGTGCCTGAGGCCTCACTGCCATCATCATCTGTATCAGATCAAGTGGGGCAAAGATTCTACAGTGCTCACCTGCCAGCAAACACCTCCTGTAAAGCAAGGAACCCTAACACTCCTATCCCAACCCCTTGACACTTAGCAAGGACTCAGACTTCATGCCCCTCTCTAGCATGAAGTAGCGGAAGATGTGATCTGATGCCCCAAATCTGAAGGATTTCAGAGTTCTGAGTCCATGATGGAACAATGGTAGATTAGGTAGATAGACAGGAACAGGGGAGGTGGGGAAAGGAAATCCAGGTTCTTCCCCTGGGGGCACCCAACTGACTGTTACACTGTCCAGGGATCACTTTCTTGCAGTCAGACAGCTCCTTGTCAATATAGAGAAAATGGATATGATCTGTGCTGGAAAATAATTTCACCATGGCAAAATTGGTTCAGACAGAGTAAGCTCTGGTGGAACCACACTGACCAGCCCAAATAAATAATTCTTGGGGCTGGAGGATACTAAACAGGCCATAAGCACCCACAGTGCAGAAGACACAAGGCTGTTTCCTCTCTTGGAGGAGTATCATTCCAAATTAAAAAAAAAAAGCACCCTTTATGCATTTCTAAAACAAACAAAAAACAGAAAAAAACACCATAAAATGTTAAAGAAATGTGTATTGAAGCATTTGAGGAGGAAATGGTATGCAACTCGCTAAAATAATATATATATATATATATATATATATATATATATATATATAAAAGGATGAAGCAAAATAAGGCAAGATGGCAATTACTGCTAAATATGGACAGTAGGAACCTGGGATTCTCTAGACTCTTCTTTCTACTTGTCTGTATACTTGATAGTGTTTGCTGTAGTTTGGATCTAGAATGTTCCCCAAAGGCCCATGTGTTAAAGCCTTGGTCCCCAGGGTTAGGGTATTGGGAGATGAGGTCTAGTGGGAGGCTTTTAGGTCAGTGAGGGTGTGCTATTGAAGTGAATAGTGGGACCCTGGCCTCTTCCTCGTCCTTTTGTTGCTTCTGTGTGTGGTGGTAAGTGCTGTTGCTCTGCCATGTCCACATGCTATGACATACTGCCTTGGCACAGGCCCAAAGCCAGGGGGCCAATTGTTCACAGATGAAAGTTCCAAACCTGTGAGGCAAAACAAGTCTGTTCTCTTTATAAGTTATCTTAGTTATTTTGTTATAGTAATGGACAACTGACTAACATGGTGTTCACAAAATGGAAAAAAGCTATGGAAACCATTTTGGTCATTCCTCAACGAGTTAAACACAGTTACCATACAACCAGCCAATTTTATTCCTGGGTATATACTTACAAGAATTGAAAACACATGCTCAAGAACTTGTATACCCATGTCCACAGCAGCATTATTGACCAAAGCCAAAAGATGAACACAAACCAAATGTCCATCAGCAGATGAATGGATAAACAAAATGGTCTGTATATACAATGGAATATTATAAAAAGGTTGGAAATTCTGACACATGCTACAGTGTGGGTGAACCCTGAGGACATTTTGTTAAGTGAAAACAGCCAGACACAGACATAAAAGGCCACATATTATATGATTCCATTTATATGATGTAATACGATATTTCACAAGAGCTCTCTTGACCTAGTTTTGAAGTTGTAGCTGGAAAGTCTCTTCTCTCTGTCCTTAATGGGCAATGTGTAAGCTCCCATTGTCCATCACTTCTTGTATCAAGATCCGACTCTCCGGGGCCACTAAACACACCCCTGTGGACTCCTTATTGGGCTCCTACACTCTGGGGTCAGGTTCCAGACAACTAGGAACGAATACAATTCCCCAGAGCCCACAAAATTCTTCAAATTTGCGAATCCACAGACAGCCACCCCACTCACTGACTAGGCGTAAGTTGTCCCTACATCTCCAGCTTGCTGTTGCCCTGTTACTGGGTGCAACCCCCGTGGCCCCTTGTGGCAGCCTTGTCTTGTTCAGAGCTTCAAGAATCTGAGTTCTGCCTTTTGCAGAGCCCAGTGTTACTGTGCAGTGAGCCACATCCAAAAAATCTGATGTAACATATGACATGCCTAGAATAGGCAAATCTGTAGCCCCAGAAAGCAACCAGGGGCTGGGGGCTGGAGGTGAGGAAAGACTGCTAATGGGTCAGTGGTTTCCTTATGGGGTGATGAAAACTACATACAGGCGGGGTCACACCACACTGAATATACTACATGTCATTGAATTGGTCCTTTTAAAATGTTAAAGTTTGTGTTGAGAATCTCACCTTGATTTAAAAAAGGGGAGGGGGTCCTACTGGAATTGTTCAGATGCTCATAGGCCACACATATATTTTCATTGTGATGCACTGTCAGTCACTGGGTGCCCTGGGACTCTAAAGAATTACTGATAATTTCAAGGTTTTCAGGATAAAATTATTGTTTTGAAACCCAGCATAAGCTTGTTTTTCACTGTCATAACAGTTCTTCAAGGTTATTGTCTATTTTGGAAAAACTAGAACGAGGAGGAGGTATCTGTAGTTCCCCCACTCAAGACATAAGAGGTAGGTCTGGTCCCAGAGGGGGCAGAAAGCTGTCAGGTAGTGATCCCTGAGAGACCCACCCCATGGTCAGGATTCCACCTAGTGGAGGCAAGGCCACACGAAGCTCCAAGTGTCTGTCTTTGAGATCTACTATGGAAAGTCAGCTATAATTTCAACTTTGGCAAAAGGACTCACAGAACCCAGCAGTGACTTCGGGGCAGGCAGGGTGGCACTCCCTAGTATGTGCAGAAGGAGGCACCTGGAGGGCCGCCAGAGCACAGGACAAGTTGAAGGATGACCCAGGCCCTAGAGCTCAGGTTTTCTGCAACATGGGGCTGGGCATGCAGGTGAGGCCCTTCAACCTGTGCCTCAGGTGAGGCCAGGGAGGCCTGTCAACCTGTGTACCCAGAAGCCTCTCCCTGGGCTGGTCCACTTCTTTGAGGGGCCTCGGCCCCCGGCCAGCAGCAGACTTCTCCCTTCCTTCCTCTGGCAAAATGGAGTGTTGCTGGGCAGCCTCACTGCAGGCTGGCAGCAGAGGAGAGGAGGCTTGGAAGGAGTCCACTGCCCAAGGAAAGAAAGCCTTGGTGAAAAGGGAAAGCCCGTCAGCGCACCTCAGAGCCATCCTGAACACCAACACTAGGTGGGGCGCTTTCCCCAGAAACAGAAAACAAAGCAAACAACATTAATTAAAGCATTCAGAGTTTGGGCTTTTTCATCCAAGAGGATGGACAGGCAGCACCACTTCAGGCGGAACGTCCTCGGGTCCATCAGCTCAAGACCCCAGCTGCTTCCTCTCAGCTCTGTTAGCTCTTCTTGTTCTGGGGTCCTAGTCACCTGCCACCCACTTCCTGAAATGGCCAGGGAGATCAGCATGGAGGGCCTGCCTGGGCACTCTCACAGATCAGCCCCTGGGCCAAGGCTCCATGAGCCTAGCTTGGTAAGGCCCTCTGGGGAGCTCTCCCACCACTACTGTGTGCAGGCTGTGGGGACAGAGGCTGATCTAGACATAAAAAGGGCCGTCCAGGTTGTTTGCTGAGGATCCTTCCCACAGGTGTTCAGGTCCTGCCCTTTTCTCTTCACAGATCTTCCTGAGATGCCCGTGTCACTCAGAGCAAACCCTCATGCCCCTTCCTGAACCATTTCTCCCCCACCCTTTCCTCTGCTCCAGGCATACTGATGTCCAAGCTCTAGCTCCCATAAGCCAGGCCACTCCCGCCTCAGTGCCTTTGCACTAGCTGTTCCCTCTGTCCAGAATGCTCTTCCAAAGCATAAGCACATGACTCTTTCTTTTACCACCTTCAAGTATTTTTGGAGAAATAGTGCCTATGAAATGAGACCTATTCTAGCTTCACTATGTAAACTGGAAACAGGACCTCCCTTCCCCAGTTCTTACCATCTTTTAACATTTTTTATAATTACTAATTTAAAACGTGTACTGTTTATTGTCTATTTAGCCACCAGGACTAGACCAGAGAGCAGAGATTTTTTTTTTTCTTTCTTGTTCCCTGATAGATCCTGGATATCTGCAGCAACCTGGCCCATAGAGGGTACTTGGAAGATATTCATTGGGCTGAACTAGTCATAACTAGCCCTGTGAGGAAGTGTTGGGCACAGTTCCCTGCTCAGATTAGCTCACCTTGCTCCCTCTTGCTCTTCCCCACCTTCCATCCAGCCCGTCCCTTCCTCTTCCTGAGGTTGGTTAAGCTAATGCCCTTCCCTGGTGTAGGATGGGATGACACACATAGACACGCACTACTGACATGCACAAACCCCCACCCTAGATAGCCACAGGAGCACAATTTTGTATGTCCCCCTATCAGGGGACCCTCTGGTTCTGTGCCTGTGGACAGTTTGCCAGGTGCCCCTGGGCAACAGTGTCATGGCCTCACAGTGGCAGATTGTCCCTCGTTTCCACACCCAGAGGTGCAAAATCCAAACTTACCTGGTGGATTAGCGACGGGATGCTTTTGCGCCAGCTCCAGGACCAGCGGCAGAAAACCAATCAGAGTAGAGAAACTGGAAAACACGGGCTGAGGCTCCCCAGGCGTCCAGCTCAGGCTGATCCCTCTCCTGTGGTGCCCCTGGAAGCGGGCAGCCCCGAGGGCCAGCCTGGCTGCTTTTCGCCCTCGCCTGCCTCCCAGGACGTCCCTGACTGTCGCCGCCGCTGCTGCTCCTTCTACCCAGTGGCTACCTGCACCCGCCCTCTTGTGCCCCAGCCGAGACTCCAACCCGCTCCACTGCGTCCCTGCCCAGCCGGCTACCAGGTCTCCTCGGGCGGCGGGGGCTGTCGGCCTCCCCTCCCGCCCCCCACCCCCCGCCGCAGGCCTGAGGCCAAGGCCGCCGCCTCCGAGAAGCCCTCCGGGGCGGCGTTCCTGGAGGCGGGGGTGCCCAGCCGGGTCTCGACCTCGCCTGCGGGCGCTCCTTGGGAGGAGCGTCCTGCGTGTCTGTCCGTCGGTCAGGCAGGCTGGCGCTGCTGAACGGGGCCGCAAGCGGGCGGGGCTGGGGCGGCGGCGGCGTGGGAACGGGGCGCGAGGGGGGGCACGGAGCATGCGCGGCGCGGTGGGAGGGCGGCCCGGCCCTCGCCCGCCCCACAGGGGCGTCTGGCCTCGCTCCCCACGCACCCCTGGGCACTTCCGTTTTCCGTCTGGGCTGCTCCCAGGGCTTGGGGTCACGGTAGTCACTGTACTGAAGTCCCTGAAGGACATAGGGGAGGGGCCAGCATTGGCAGAGTACTTCCCATGGGACAGACCCCTGGACATTACGTCCATGCATCCATCCATCCGTCTCTCTGAGGTCTACGGGGCCCCTGCAGAGTGGCTAGCATCAAGTGGGGAGGCTGTGGTCTGGCAATAAAGGACCAACTTGGGTGCACTGGAAGGAAGGGATGAGAAAGTGGTGGGGGACATGAAAGGGGACTTGGGGAAAGTGGGTATGGAGGCAGATGGAGAGCAAAGAGGAAGCCAGCAAATGCAAGAGGCAAAGACTTATTGGGTACAGAGGCCTGCCCCTCAGGTTTTCCCACATGAGCTTAAAGCCAGCCCCCAGAATGGGCATTGGGGTTGCCGTTTTCCCATAGGTTATGGTCCACATGGTGGAACCAAGATGGCAACTCAGGGCTGACTTGGATGTTGCTCTGTTGAGGATTATGACTTCCTTGAAGAAAATGTAGGAGAGTGAAAAAAAATTAAAAGAAAAGTAACAAGGAAAAAAAAAAAAAACCCAGTCACACTGCATGTCTCACCTGCTACAGGCAGGAACAGGGCCTCCAGGGCAGCAAACCCAGATTTAGAAATGGGAGAAGGTCTTGGGTTGGAGAGGTTACAGTTTCCTCCCCTGGCTCCACTTTTCCTGCTGCACCACCCCTTCATTTTCCCCTATCCAAGACTGGCCTGGAATGGGACAGCAAGCTCCTGGGCTGCAGGGAACAGGCGCTGTCCTAGGGCTGCAGTGCTGCCTGCTGAGCAGGGGTCTGTGTGAGGTAATTCTATCCTGGGTGCAGGAGAGCAGCCAGGCTTGGCTGCAGCATATCCCCAGGGGCTCCCATGGGAGGGATCTGGAGAAGGGGTTCTGGGTAAAGCCAAGCACCTGTGGAAAGTTGAGAGAGCCTCTTGAGAGGGTCTAAGCCAGTAGGCGCAAGGTCAGGCCCTGTGGGCTCAGTTTGCATTGGGGCAGAGACTGGAATGGCTGAATGTCCTCTGGGTCAGCTAACATGCTCTGCTGGCCTGTCTGTGGAGGGAGGTGGTTTGGGGGATGTGCAAATCTTTGAGAGGTGTCCTCCAAGCCCCAGGTACTGACTGGGTTGATAGAGCCTGGGAGCTTAGGTATGGACAGGCTGTGTGGTTTCTGTGCAGCCTCACCCTTGCACCCCTGCTGGGAAGGAGCATGCAGGTTGGGAGGGGGATGTCCAAGCTGTGGTGTAAGGAGACAGTGGCTCTGGCGGGCGGTTGGGAGCAGTGAGTGGAAGTGCATGTGGAAATGCCCCAGGTCACCCTGGCTGCTCTTTGACCATGCAAAAGCATCAGGGTACTGAGTAGCCTGTGATTTGGAGGAGGTCATGTAGTATATGAGGTCAGCTCTCACACCCCTGAAGCCCTTAAGGCTTTATGGGACCCTCATGGTGAGGCAAGTGGGTGGTGATAGTATGGCCTGGGTACCAGGAGGTAGAAGATTTGCCATGGTTGGGAGAGAGCTACTCCCTACCCAGGGGACTATCTTTGCCTTAGGATGCTTGTGGACTTGACATGTGAGTCAGCTGGCACCACCACTGGAGGTGATCTGTCATCCACCTGCTGCCTGAACTGCAGCTTCTTTTACAGCTTCAGCTGAAGCAGTGGTTTCCAAATGTCCCAGAAAGGAACCACCACTGTCCCTCTCCTCAGTGTATCCACCACTGTCCTTCATGGCCCCTCCCAGTATGGTCTTCCTTTCCCTATATTGACCCTTCCATGTGGCTATCACTGTCCCTCTCAGTGTGACCACCCAGCTTCCTCACTATCCTGAACTGTCACTCAGGACCTAGCCTCTTTACATCTTCAGGTCTTGGCTCTGGTTTCAGGCTGCTTCTGTGTGCTTGAGAGTCTTTCAGTGTCAATTAGGATCACATATTTCCTTGTTTTTGCTCAAAGAGAGAGAAATCTCTCATCTGTGGAGAGAATAGGAATGGTTCCCCCAAGTTCCAGTGGGCCATGGAGCCAATGGACTATTGGAGTCATTAATAGTTGCTTTAGGAGTGTCAGGTGCAGCTATTCTTTGACTAATTAGGATCTGCTTCTGAATTTGGGGATGGAGGTTAAAATGCCCTGAGCCCTGTGGGGGAGTGTTGTGGTTTGGATCTGAGGTTCCTTCCGAAAGCTCATGTGAGACAATGTAGTAATGTTCATAGGGGGAATGATTGAGAATTGTAACCTAATTACTGGATTAATCCATTTGACAGATGAATAATTTGAAAGGGCTACTGTGGTGGGTGATAACTGTAGGCAGGTAGCATTAGCAGGAGGATGTAGGTCACTGGGGGTGTGCCTTTGAGGTTTATATTTTGTCCCTGGAACCTTGCTTGCTCTCTGCTTCCTGGCTGCAATGAGATGAGCAGATTTCCTCCACCAAACCCTTCTACCATGATGTTGTGCCTCACCACAGTCCCAGAGCAATGGGGACGGCCAATTATGAACCGAGACCTCTGAAACCATGGCTCCAAATTAACTTTTTTACTTTAAGTTGTTCTTGTCAAGTATTTTGGTTAAAGTGACAAAAAGCTGACTAACAAAGGGAGAGGCAGGCACTTCAACAAAAGGAGGTCCTCTTTTAGCAAGGAAGAAGGGGGAATGGCTGTTGGGAGGGCAGTTGTTAGTGCCCAGTCTCCAGGCATCCAATCAGGTGACAGGGACCACATCTAGGAGGACCATCAATGGTGAGGACCTGAAGAGCCATCGCACACTTTTCCAGAACTTCCTGGCAGAGGAGAAGGCTCAGTATTCCCATGGCCCAGGACAGCTACTCAACCTGAGATTGGCCTGAAGCTGGCCTGCCCTCTCTAGTGGCCACATTCCCTCATGTCCACGTTTGGAGGGAGGGGTAAATGAAGCATGCCTATGAGTGGGTTCATTCTTGGATCACCTGGAGTCTTCCATGATACCCCATTTCTGTCCCTACCCCAGACCTTTCCTCAGAGTTCCAGCTCCTTGTATCCAGCTGCCTTCTTGATTTGGATTTTCCCACCCCACATATCCAAAACTGAACTCATGATTTACTACCAGGGCTGCTGCTTATCCTGTGTCCCCAGCTACAGTGAATGGAACCCCTGTGCATTCTTGTTAGATGCTAGAAAGTAGGGACGCATCTTTTGCTCATCCTTCACACCCCACCATACTTGGTATTTGGTCAGTTTACCACATTTTAGATCTGTAAATCTTCCCTTTCTGCTCCATGACACTACCATTACTGTTTTTCACAAAATGGGCATCTCTAAGGGGGAATCTCAATTGGCCCCTATTACTCTTCCTGCACCCATTCTTCTTCCCATATAATTTCTTACAAACAACCAGGTTCTTGAAATATAATGTGATCACATTACTCACCTACATGAATGTGTGTGTATTACTTTTAAACTTTTCAATGGGTTCCCAACTCTTTTAGAATAAACATTAACCTCTGCTCAAGGCTCACAAGGATGGCATGGTCTGGTCCTTCCAGCTTCAGTGCATAGTTCTTGTTCTCTGTCTTCCTCTCTGTCTTTCCGTCCTGCAGCCACACTGCCCTTTTGTTCGACACTCACCATATTCCCCAGAACTTTTGTACATGCAGTTCTCTCATCTGATAGAGTAGGGGCCACTTTCTATAAGAGGGGTGGAAAATGCCAGGTCTGGGATTTCCCAGGTTTTCTTGCAGTTAAGGCATGAGTACATGACCCAGGCTCCACTCATCAGATACACCCATTGGTAACTGAATCTGAGGCTCCAGACAAGAGGAAGCAGGAGCCCCACAGATCCCACTTGGGCAGGTTGATGGCAGAAGGGGCAGTGCTACCTGTTTCCAAGGAGCAGAGGCACCTGTGGCTCTTGAGGCAGCATCCCAATCTCCATGGTGTCTGTGACACCTGTGGGTGTGAGCCACAAGGAAACCCTCCCCAGCTAAGCACTGTGGTGGGGTCTTGACCTTTGTCCCTCTCTGCAAAGCCCCAAAGCCTGGTTCTCCAATCCTACCCCCAAAGCATGGGGGATATCCTAGAGCAATTCCTGCACTGTGTCCATCAGCCAGTCTGTTTGTGTTGTTTGCCATTAGGAACCTTGAGGGACCAGGTCTCTGCAGTTGCCATCTGATCCCGTTCCAGGGCTTAGGTACACCACTTGCTCCTGGTTTGCTTCTTTGGCCTCGGTGGCTTTTTATAGAATCTTTCACTGGCTCCTGTTCCTGCAGACTTCCTTTATGGTTGGTGTTTGTTCATAGTCGTCAATGTTTAGAGGCTTTGCATCACTTGTTGGCTAAATGATAGTATCTCAGGTCCCACAAAGTGATGCCTCCCTGGGTGACTATTTACTGGGTACCATTTACTAAGATGATGTTTCTCAGAAGAGGAGGCTTGGAGCAACATTCCTAGTGCTATTGTAAGACTTGTGGGCATTAAGGGGCTATTGTAGTGTTTTTATTTTGAGACAGGGTCTTGCTAAGTTGCTGAGACTGGCTTTGAACTTGTGATCCTCCTGCCTCAGCCTCCTGAGCTGCTGGGATTACAGGCATGTGCCACCATGCCTGGAAAGTTATCCATTGTTATATGCCAATTGCCCCTATTGGCTTAGCTGGGAAGTTCTGGCTGAGGGTCACTCAGGAGATAACACTCAAACTGTCTTGTGAAGCTGCAGTCTCTGAAGACCTGACTGGGGCTGTGGGATCCACTTTAAGCTACTCATATGGCTGTTGGAATGTGACTCAGTTCCTCACCACATGGGCCTGTCCATAAGGCTGCTCATGTGGAGTTCTCCACTAAATGAATGATTAGGGTG